GGCCGCCCCAACGGCCGCTCCAACGGCCGCCCGGCGGGTAGAGCCGCCGCGCCGCCGCCCCTCGCTTGTGGCCCCTCTTCTCTCTGAGTCCTCGCCGCGGGCACCTGCCCTCTGGGCAAGGCGTGGTGATCGCGCCCTTAACGGGGACATCCCTAGCCCGCAGCGCTACGAAAACAGATTTTTTGGTTTTTGGTTTTTTTTTTTTTTCTCCTTGTTTTCTGCTGATATACATTAAACAAGCGTGGCGTGTGCTCTGTTCGCACCGGCCACAGCGACTGTGTGCCCGTATGGCCGGGGGGAGCAAACCCGGCGTGCAGCCGCGCTCCCGTTCTCAGCGATAACTCCAGAGCAGGGCTGTGGTAGCTCAGCGTGGCACAAAGCCTCACTGCCCCACGAATTCTCCAGTGTGTTTCCTGGCTCTTCTGAGCAGAGCTAAATCAGACTGCAGYGCACAGCAAAGAAGGTGGCTTGCGGTGTGTTCTGCCTGCGCGCAGCGCTGGGCAGTGCCCATGCGGCCCGCGGTGTCCTCGGGTGGCTTAATCACACATTCTCCTGTAACCATTTTGGGGGACAATTAGAGAAAAGGGAACTTTTTATTTCGTAAATAACAGTAAAATCAGTAAAATTGCTAAGATTCAATACTGATTGTAGGGACTTTTTTAGGTTTTTTTGCTTGTTTTTTTATCCTACCTGTTTTGTAAATCCATTTGTGAGCTCAAGAGTTGTGCACCTTGCCACTGGATCTTGGTTGCCAGTGTTTCCCTAAGGGAATACACACTCGTACCCCAAGTCTTACATTTTTGGGTAATTTAGGGCTTCAGTAGTTGCATGATGCTGGTGCTCCACATGGTGCTGTGCAGATCCCTATTACAAGTTCTGAAGTTTCTGGGGCCTGTGCTGCAGTTGAAGTTTGCTGGCTTGGTTATATGGTCAGCTCGCAGGCAGAAAATCACTCAGTTACACATATGGAAAATTCTGGATTTCTCCCCTTTTCCTGCAGCCAGAATAAGGCTTTGTACCTGTGGGCTAGTTTCTTCTTTACAGCTTTTCAGCTGATCATTTACTGCTTAATGATTCYGTCTGTTTTATATAAAAGTGTGTGGTATTCCCAGAGGCTTTGATTATCTCTGCGAGGTAAGAACATAATTGTGTGCCATAGGACGAGTGTTTGCATGGAATATTTTTTTTTTTCTGATAGAAGGGCTTAAAATGAAGAGAAAATAAAATAAAACATGGTCATGGACCAGAGCAGTGTCAGTTTAGAGAGCAGATTTCTGGAGCCTGTCATCAGCACCATCGTGTGAGCTCGTGGCACTCCATGGCTCTGTTTACCGGCTGACCTGTGCGACATGGTGACATTTATTTCAGACACTCTTGTGAAATACATTTGAAATCAGTGAGGAGTTTAGTGGTCTGCAGGGTAAAGTTATAATGTGTCTGCAAAGCAGAATAATTAAACCCTAGCTTTGGGGTTGTGCTCCTTTTCCTGCACTTTGTGTAAAGTGGGAAGGGGTCAATACAAGACCACAAGGAGCTGGAAATGCTGCTGCAAGGGAGYCCCCTTTTTGCGCCTGCCCGTTGGTCTGTGTCCTGTAGCACATGCTCTGGGTTGGCCTCCCAGAGAGCAGCCGAGTGCCCAGCACTTTGGGATGCATTTGGGATGCATTGTGCTCTTTGCTCCTGTTTTTTCCAGAGGTCGTTGGGCTGACATAGGAAAGATGCCTGATGAAGCAGAAATCTTTTGCAATGAAGAAAATGAAAGTACTTGTAAACAAAGATGAAAATTAAGCTAATTGGGGTCCTGGGATTTAGTGTCCTTGTCAACCGACTGAGGTGTCCGAGGGACCTTTACGGTCTCTCTCCATCACCTTGAACACTGTTTATGTGGCTGTGATTCCTCCTCCTCTTTATTGTTGTTCTCTCCTGGCTCCTAGGACAAAACTTATGTAGCTGCTTCCTTAATGCCTCTGTCGTGGCCATTAACTAAGGTATTTCTAGAGCCTGCCTGCTGCTTGTGAAGAATGCTGTGCTATAATACATAGATCTATACCATAACAGTATAGAAGGCAGAGCACCTTTGAAGAGCAGGTTACAYGGCAGCATTAGTGACCTTGCTGCACTTGCACTGTCCGTCTTCCTGTTCCCACCATGTATCTGAACCACCGACCAAGGATAGTACTTACTAACTCAGCCATGCTTAAGGTGACAGTCCCTGTCGGGATGAAAACTAAAAATATCTGGACAAACAGCTTTTCCTTGCAATAGTGCAGAGCACCCCCAGAACATCCTGGTTACAAAGCAAAACAGCCTGTTTTTTGCCAGCAACTTCTGGTGCAGTTTCCATGGCTTGGCTTGCACTGGCGCGCTCTGGCATTCCCCCAGTACCTGTTGCACTGTTTACAAAGCTTCCAGGAAAGAAGCTTGCGGGAAAATCCCTGGATTGTTTTTTTTTAGTTCCCAGCATTTGGCTTTTGTGGTGCTTTTGTATAAATGTCTGCCGTGGTGCGAAGCAGCACGTGGCAGGGACGGCGCCGCCAAGGTGCAAGGCGCTCCCAATGCTCCTCCGGCTGCTGCCCGTGGAACTGGGAGCTGCCTGCTCCCATGAGCTGGCCTTGCTACTGGGAACCTGCTCGCGGCCTCTCCTGCAGGGAGCCCCACGTCAGCCCCTGCACCCTGGAGCCCTGGTGGCTTTTGGCACTGGAATAGTGAGGCTGGGAATGCGATGGCTGCTGCCAGGGCCCGAGGGCACGGGAGGAGCRCGGGCTGGCTGCCCCGCTCGGGCTGGCACCTGTGTGCAGGTGGCTGCTGCTCCGCGCCCAGGGTGCACAACGTTCAAGAGCAGAGCCCAAAAAGGGAGCAGCGTTGTTCGTGCATCCAAGAAGAGCCCCTTTGGTCAAACAGGGCTCTGCCAGCTTGCCTGGTGTGTCCTTGGCCGGGTGTTTTTGACCAGCCTGAGCTGTTCCTCTGCTAATGTCTGCTTGGTTGGGTGGGACAGTTCGGCGAGATGATCATAGAATCACAGAATGGTTAAGGTTGGAAGGGACCTCTAGRGATCATCTAGTCCAACCCCCTGCTCCAGCAGGGACACCCAGAGCACGGGGCACAGCACGGCATCCAAGAGGGTTTTAAAGACCTCCAGAGATGGGGACTCCACARCCCCTCTGGGCAGCCTGTGCCAGGGCTCTGGCACCCTCACTGTCAAGAAAATTTTCCTTCAGTTCCCGTGGAACTTTTRGTGCTTCAGTTTGTGGCTGTTTCCTTAGTCCTATCGGAGGCCGGCCCCACGATGGGTCTCGTCTCCGATGCACTGGGTTTGGGGCCTGCCCCTGCCCCTTCCGAGCTCACGGCAGGGAGGCCCGGCACAGCTCTGCCTCCGAGAGAAACCTCTGTGATGTTGCACATGAATACGCTTCTTGGTAGTGATTTCAACACCACGTGTAATGACACTGGGGGATTGTTAACAAATTTATTTTGTGCTTAACTTTTCCTTTATACCCCTGCGGGAGCCAGAAGTATATTTGGGTGTGCTCTGGGTCAGTCAGGACCATCTTTCCATAAATGGATGTTTCAGTGATATGATGGAAATCAAATGCCTTCAGGACTTTAACTTCCTCCTTTATATTTTGGCAGGTTTAAAAAATGGCCGAAGAAGGCAATGATGAGACTATGTTTATTTGTAAGTATTAGAAGGAAGCTGCTTCACCTCTCCCTGGTATGACTTGTCTACACAGAACATCCAAAATTAAAAACTAAAACAGACTTAGGTTTTATTTAGGCATATATTTACGCAAGGCAAGCTCACATAGCTTACGGAGGAGTAGAGAGATGGTTGCTAATTTTAAGYGTGCATATTCCTCTGTTGTTGCTGGCAAATGCATAGAGGGACCTGTGAAKATGAACCAGTGGAAGCACCTTTCCGTAGCTGGAATAAGCGAGGTGGAAGGCGCGGCGGCTGCAGAGAGCGCTCTCGGAGCGTGTGGACTGCAGCAGGGCTGGCAGCCCGGCGCTGCTCGGGGGGGCTCTGGCTGCTGCACGTGGCAGCCGAGCCCGTCGGCAGCACGAGGCCGTGCGGGCCGCACAGGAGGCCCAGGTGGCCCTGCCGGGCTCGCCAGGCGCTCGTGCTCCTGTATCCCCGTGTGCCTGCGTGTCCTGCAGCGGGAAGAGAGGCTGCGGCGGGGCCGGGGCCGGGCGCGGGGCAGCGTCCCAGCGTGGCGCAGCCTGCCCTGGGGGCTTCCCCCGTGACCTGCCGGCGCTGCCGCTCCTGCCCGGCACTGCAGGACCTCCTGTCGCAAGGGCAAAAAGTTTAGCAATCCAGAGCTAACCGCGGGCATTTGTGTGAGCGTAAGGAGAGCGCATGTTACGGGTGTGCTCTGGGAAGAGCAGGGGGGAGTGTTTGTCTTTGGTGGTTTGGCTTCACAGGCTCTGAGGCACGGTGGCTCCTCACAACACATCAACTGCATTATCGCTGCTGCATTAGGGGAGAAGGTTGCACCTTTCCTGCTGGCAGAGATGTGCTCGGGTGCCTTCAAGAATAGCGTTGACCCAGCCAGTGTTATTTGTTTATTTAGTGAGTTCTGGGCACTGATAGTGAAGCTACTTCAGTCTCCCCTTCATGAAAAGACTAGCGGATATCAAAGAGCATGGGAATRTGATGCCTTGGCTTCTGTGGGTCACACAGTCCCATCCTCCCCCCACTCCACRGGAAGCTGCACTCATTGACTTTCTGGAGCTTTCTGGGACTCCATGAAAGTTTGACCCCAAGCATACGGGTAATACATTCCTTAAATTTGGTGCACATTCTGTGCTTACCTTCCAGAAAAGTGATTTTTCATGTGAATGATGCTGCAGTTCATTTACAGTCTGGAGGCTCTTCCACCCACCTTGTTTTGGGAAATACATGTTTGACTCAGATTGTTTCAGTAATATTATTTGCAGTATGACCCRCAGGTAATAGAGTTTGGCCCACCTTCAAGGGGATGTTATGGTGAACTGCAGCACAGGAGAGCATGAGGCAGGTTGGCCGTAGCCTTAAATTTGATGCTCTTGCTACAAATAGATGGCACCTGCCCTCGTGTCATTTCCTTTGAAGCAGCTGTCTCGGGTGTTTTAAACAAACTGGACTTGGAAGCTGGTTCAGCTGAAAGATCAAGTGTTGGAAAAAAAAGGTGGTTTTGTTACTGAGTTCCCTGGGCGGCACCACAAGCAGCTGTAAAGGAAGAAGTGGCCGGGGTTGGAGATTGTTTAGGCTGTTCTTGCCATTTGTGTAATCCATAGGGATTTGCACTGCTACTAGTGCTGGTTTTATAGCCAAGGGGAAAAAAAAASTTCTATATTGGACTTTGAGATTCCTTTCTACATCTTAGAAGGGATCCTTATGTTAGTTTGCTGAGGTGAATACTAAGGGAGAGACATTTCCCATTAGGAATACAGAATATCTTTTCCAGAACAGGGTATGAAATTATAAATGAAATGAATGAAATTATCTTTTTTCTTGTTGTTGTCTTCCCCCAAAATGTCTGTCTGCCTTGCGCTGCGCAAACTTTCTGAGGCTTCCTGGCCTGCCCTTATGGATGTGGAGGTGAACATCTCTAGGAACATCTCTCTAGGAACATCTCTAGGAACATCTCTGGAGCTGTGCCTGCAGCTGACCAGGCAGGGCTCTCCAACAGCCGCTTTCCACAGTGGAGCAGTGTGCATTTGGGTTCCTGCTAAACTGGCTGCTTAAAAAGGTTTCAATTTATCTGAGTCKGGAAATTGTTTCTTAGGAGCCATTTAGTTCTGGGTTACTCACAGTCCCCTAAACTACAAGTTAATTTAGGAGAGCTGAGAAGAAATGGAAGAGCAGCCGAATTGCACTGCTTAGTCACCAACTTGCTTGGAAAGACCGTAATTTGGATTTGGATCTAGCGAAAGCAGTCATGTGGTTTTCTTATCTGCTTGATGTTATGGCACTCTCTATAAAAAATAACCCCCTCTTTAAGCAGAATATTTACTGTGAATATAAAGCAAATACTTTCATGGAGAAAAAAATCAGTGTCTTCTAATCGTGCCCCTGTTATCCATAGCCTCATCTRCATAGGTGCTAGCTGTTAGCTTGTCATTCAGTCATGCATGTTCTTGTAAGCAATAGAAATGAGCAGCTGCATCTGTATCTAGTGTGCTTGGTGGCAGGTTTTGTATTTAGTTTTTGAAAGAAAGGGGCAGCTGCTTCTACAGCTGCACTTTGCATGAACCTTTCTGTGTGCTCTCCGCTTGGTTACAGGGTGTGAAGACTGTGGCCAGTACCATGATTCAGAGTGTCCTGAGCTGGGCCCAGTGGTGACAGTGAAAGACTCCTTTGTATTGAGCAGAGCCAGGTAAGTAACAYTCCTGTTAGTTCTAATTGACCAATGTTCACATTAGTTCTTTAAAGCTGATTTACTGCTAGATAGCCCAGTCTGCAAAAAGGACATGGACATATTGAAATAGAGAAAAAAACACACTTAAAGTTCTCCGTTGAACTGAAGACAAAAAGTGTCTGGCTGCTCGTTCAGGACTTGGTTTCTTTGCTGAGTTGTCTGGCAAAGAGTCAGGTGGTGCCAGGTGGGCCGCTTGAATAACTTCACACTGCTGTATTGTAAAACATCCAAACTCCATCAGTCAGTGTTAATGGGGACTGTTGGCCGAGCAGTAGATTTGCCCCATTCATAAGAGTAATTTTCAAATGCTGTTATTTTGAAATGATAACAAATGATGGGGGGGATGAGTTTCTGAGGCACAGTAACTGGACAGTGCAGTAGATCTCCCCTCTGTACTAAGCAGATGCAATGAAAAATTAAATTACTATTTCTTAGCTTTTCTCTTTTGTTCCTCTTGTTTCACTGTGATTTAGTAGGCCTGTTTAATCCAACAGTATTAGAGGAACATGCAGATGTTCCAGCTGAGAACATGTGTCAGTATGGTGTGTTAGCTCCGTGTTTCAGCCTGTTTTGACATGCAGATATGTAAATGTTGCCTTGTAGAAATGTTGGCTGYTGGATAGGGATTTCAAGCCAGAGCCGAAAAATTACTGTTATAGGAAAAAAAGGTATTTACTTTCTCAAAGAATTAACAGTTGAACACAGATAACAATCTCTTAAATACAAGTGTAGTCTTTTAATCACAGCAGCAATTTTAAAATAATCGAGGTTATTTTCCTCGATCCTGCTGAGAAGTTAAAACGAATACTATATGACTAGAAAAAGAAATGTTAAGAAAAAATGTCTCCTGAATTGCACCTTACTGACTTTGCATAATCTGTTATTAAAAATGAAAACACTATTTTTTCAATTAATTTACTTATCACTGAGATTGCAGTGTGTTTACATTTTTCTCCATCTGGACGTGAAAGTAGATCAGCCAGTTTCAGCTTTCATAGAGCAGTCAGTAGCCTGTGTGAGTATTTCTAGGTTTTCATCCTTCAGCGTGGAGCTGCACAAACAAGGCTGTGGCTGGTGTCAGTAGAGCCAATGCAGTGGTGCGAGGGGGATACCTTTTCTGGCACAGGTTCTCTCTCTACTTTATGTAGAAAGGCATTTGTAGGCAGTTCTGCTCCAAAGCTGGTCTGGTGAATTAGAGAGACACCAAAGACAGAAGCACTTGTATGTCTGGGTGTAATAAGGGAGCTAGAAAATCAGAGAGAGACTTGCAAGACTTTTATTTGAAGAACTATGATCTGCTTAAATATGTAAGGGGGGTGAATTTGGAGAGGAATGCAGATTATTTGGGGGCCCTCAGTATGGGAAAGACATCAACAAAGTGGRGTGAGTTCAGGGAGGGCCAGCCGGACGGACAGGGGCTGGAGCACTCGCTCCGGAGGAGAGGCACTGCTCAGCCAGGGGAAGAGACAGCTACAGCTCCCAGAGCACAGTATCCCAACTTGGATGCAATTTAAAGGCTAAAATCAAGGTAAAAGACCTCTACTGCTCTTCCCTCATGCACAAATCTGGCATTTTTATCTTTTTATCCAGGAGTATTTGGGTTGTCAGGCGTCATTTACCTGTGGTCACTCCATGCTGATTGTTTCCAGTCCACCTTGTTCTCTCTCTTGTTCTTGTAAATGGCTCCAAAAAGGACTTGCTCCATGATTGTCCCTGGGGCTGAAGTCAGGCTGACTGGCCTGTAATTCCTTGGATTATCCTTCTGGCCTTTTTTGAAGATAGCTGCAACATTTGCCTTTCTCTTGTCATCATGGATCTCCATTGATCTYTGTAATCTTTCAAAGCTGATAGACAGTGGCCTTCCTGTGTTATTAACCTGCTCCTCTAGACTTGTATGGGTTRAGCTCTCAAGTAATCCCTGACACAACCTTCTTGCACTGCTGGTAGTTCACTATAAATCATGATAGAAATTGGAGGTTTCTGTCACTGGAGTTTGGAGAAATAGATGCTGACTTCCTATTCCATGGGCTATGTGCCACACGTAACTGCCTAACATTTATGATCTGCAGAACATCTGAGTTTTTTTTTTTTTCCTCAATTTTCTCTTCAATTTTCAGGTCATCTCTGCCTTCCAATTTAGAGATAAGACAGCTTGAAGACGGGACTGAAGGTGTATTTGCTCTGACTCAGCTAGTGAAACGTACCCAGTTTGGCCCATTTGAATCCAAGAGAGTAGCCAAGCTGGAAAAAGAGTCAGTCTTTCCCTTAAAGGTAAGTCCCACCGCATGAAAAGCAGTAACATTGATTCTGTTTTACCTGTGGTATTTTCTGCTTTTTACAACCATGAAAAAGTTTGGGGGAAAGAAACATTTGGGATGTCTTTTAAGCATGCCTGGTAACGGATTCCCTACACAGAATATTCTTTTTTATCTCCCATTTGTGTTACTTTTCTCTTGACAACCTGTGTGTGGGGGGAAAAAAAGCACTATGATTAAAAAATAGTTTTCAGTAATACCTGGCTCAGTAATAGAGGTTTAGAAATGTGATGCGAGGGCTGATGCTATTTCACAGTGTGTTGTTTGGACTCTCCCTGTCTGCCCTTGGTCCAGTAATTCAAATTCCAGTGAGAAACTGGTGGCAGTAGCAAGACTGCTAAGGACAGAAGGTCAGTCTGTTACCATTCTGCCACTGGTGATCTATCTCAGTCATCTGCAGATGCGATAGATGCTCCCCTGACGCAAGTGCTGAGGCTCGCATTGCTTTTTATGCACATGCAATGAAAGAGATGCAAGTTCGGAAAATAAAAGTTCTTTTTAGCTACGCGTTATTTGTTACAGTTTTATTACTGCCTCTTTTTGCTTGTTTGCCTGTGTGGCAGGTGTTCCAGAAGGACGGGCCCCTAGTTTATTGCGATACCTCAAATGAAGATGATTGCAATTGGATGATGATGGTGCGGCCAGCCACCGAGTATGAACATCAGAACCTGACTGCCTTCCAGCATGACAATGACATTTACTTCACCACCTCCCGGGACATCCCGCCCGGAACTGAGCTGCGAGTGTGGTATGCAGCTTTCTACGCCAAAAAGATGGAAAAGCCGGTGCTGAAGCAGGTCGCTAGTGTGGCCAATGGTACGTGTGGGCCCTTCATTCCTTCCTTCCTGACAGCCCAGAGCCTGGTGATCCTCTGCTGTGGCAGTTGTCCATTCTTTTTRGTAGGCTCTGACTCTAAATTTCTTAGCCTAGAGAATCAAGATAAGCAGCATATATGGTTGTCCTACCAGGAGAGACGGATTCTTCACCATGATGTACCTTGAGCTTTTAGAAAGAGATGGAAAACCTAGTTTATCATTCAGCCTCCTCAGACTGAGCAAACTGGATAAATAGTTTTTAGCTGAAAAACTGCTAATTGCAGCAAAACACATCTGAGTAGAAAAGCTTTCATCTTCTTTGCAAAGTATCACGAATGTCAGAGTAACTCCAAATGTGTGTGCAGGTCTGCCAAAGAAGCCATACTCTTTCAGTGGTGTTGGAGCCTTGCGCAGGACCTGCTGGAACAGGATAAACTCAAACCTGATAGCTTGTGCGGTAGAGACAACAGGTTTATTAGAATCTGCATTAGAATTACCAGAGGTTTTCTCTTCTCTGCCCCTCCTTTTTCTTGTACTCTTACAAGAAAATTTATACAGCCAAAAGGCAAAATTCTTAAATGTGTCAAGGACATTGTTTCTCTGTTGTTGAGTTGGAAGTATTTCCATTTGGTATTACTGCCGTGCTGGGTATAATTTGGGGGTGACAAACGGCCTGGGGATGGGGATGAGGGTGCCCATGGCCGTCATCGTGCTTTTTGTGGTTGTTTCTAGTGGTATGTAGAATCCTAAGTGCTACAACTGAATCAGTGCTGTTCATGTGTTCCTGAATTCCTAGGTGTTTCCATCTGGTATTAATTAAGAGGTTTCAGCTTTATCCTCTTTTGTTTAACCTGTAAAAATACATATTTTTATGAGTACATTTGTATTTACACACATTGTTCAGATGTGTCCTTATGATTCGGCTCTTTCAATATAGATGCCACAATATGAAAAGGTCATTGTATGAGGTCCAAGTATAAGAATATCCTGATTAGGATTATCTGTAAACCTAACCTGCTGTAGGCCAGAGCTTTCTGACTGTGATTATTGCCCCTTTGCACAGAGTAAAAGAGCCAAGCTGCCTCTGAAGTATTGAAAAGGATATTTTTCCTCTCCACAGATATGTGCCTCGTAGTAATGGATTATGATAAAGAAGGAAACAGAAACTCATCAAAGTCTTCATCTGCTGTCTTTCCTCGTAAAAAATCAAAGAAATCCAGCATACCAGTGGCTGATACAGCAGGTATGCAAAATYGTGATGTTTTAAAGGAGCTAGAGCACAGATTCAGGTCTAAGGACCTGCTAGGTGCTAGAACAGCAGTTATTCCCAAATTCCAACATGGTAAGAAGTCTGGTAGAGTTCAGCCTGTACTTTATTACAGGAACTGAAATTTAGATARATGTGCAAATACTATTGGCCATAAAACAAAAGGCTCAGGGAAGTCCCTAGTTTTGTCATAGAAGCTCAATCCCCAAGGTTAATCATGAAGCAAGGAATGCCCCTAATCTCTGATAAGCGAAACAATGAAATTAAGAATCCATTTAACACAAATTACCACATCTAAACATAAAATCAGAATACATAGTGTAAGAATCTGGATCAAAAGAAGGTAATCCGTATGTCTTCTTTGAAAAAGTTGCTTTGCTAAATTTTACTGACTAGGAGAGGAGAGGAAGAGTGTTTGGAGATGTGTGCAGAGCATTTCATCAGAAATGTGCGCTGTTAACAGCTAAAATGTGAAAAATGCCTGAGGAGCTGTTTTTCATTTTGGCAAAAAATTAATTTTTCTAGAAAAAAAGAAAAAAAAGATAAAAAGAACTTGAACAGACCCGCCTCCCTGCTTCATGGGAAAGTCCAGCTTCTGCAGCAACAGAATGCTGCRTACTGTGCTTTGGGAACCCTAAGGTATTCCCACAGTCACCGTGTTTTGGTGTTTCCAAAACGTATTTTTAATATATATTGTTCTGTCTGCTTGCTTACGAAGCTGTTACAACCAGGTGGGTTGTCAAGCAGCCTGCTTGGAGGCCTGAAGACACAGCAATCTCGTGGCAGACCAGGGCATAGCTAGGGTTCTGGGTTTCCTGCTTGGGCTATATATGGAGAGGCTCATATTGCTGCTTAAGTGGTGCTTGTAGAGTCCTTGCAAGATAAACAAGGTAAACAGGGACTTCCAAAGCTCCTGAGTGTTTCTTCTTGTCCCGATTTAGTGAACACTCCAGAAGGCAGTGGAGCCGCAGAAGCAGAGCCCAATCAGTGGACGTGTAAAGTGTGCTCATCAACTTTCCAGGAGCCTCAGCTGCTCACCGGTGAGACAAACAACTATGATATGCAATGTAGAAGAGGTGAAATTATTGTCTAGAAGATGCTATATGAATGCTAAGAAGGATATAGGTGAATAGGAAGGAATAGGAAGGATTTGGTGAACAGTATATAAGATCAGTGATGCCAGCGTATGCGTAGTGGTATTTTCTGTCTGATATTTACAGGACAGTTTAATTAATAGTGATAAGACATGTTATTTTCCAGCATTGCCTTTGCAGCTGCTTTATTTGGTTTTCAGAAGAATTTGATCTCTGAAGCTTATTTCATGAATCATTTTTGAAAAAGAGACTCAGGCTGCGAAATTGCTTGGGCCTTTGGAAAAAAAACATTCCCATTATAAGTGAGACAAAGGGTTAGATATCCAGTGATATCTAACAAACCTTGTAAAAAAATCAGGCCATGTTGGTAATCATTTGGATGCTTAATAGAGAGGTCGCTGAGAGCTAAACAGAGGGTATTTTGAGAGAGTTTAATAGAGAATGTTTTGACTGCTTGAAGTAGTTAAAATTATCTGCTGAATGAGGTCGTTTTGTCCCTTGTTTGCTCTCGCATGCTTTACTGTTCATCCAGAGCATTTGCTGAGTCACCTGGAACAAGCCAAAGGTGCTCCCCAAACAAGCCCAGCTGAGGTTGTTGCAGAGAAAGCAGCAGAGGCTCCCCCTGCGGATCAGCCCACGGTTTGCAGTAAAGCTGCTAGTGCCAGTGCAGACTCCCGAAGGAAAGCCAGGCGGGGAAGAAAGCCCAAAACAGCAAAAGCAGAAACGCCCCTTGCTGTTGTTGAAGAAAAAGAACCTGCAGGTAAAACGAAGAGGTTTAATAAAGTAGTGACCACGTGCACCCTCATGTACCTGTTCAGAAAGACCTAAAATGTAGCACACAGGTCGGGGATTTTTTGTTTATGTGTAGATCCCTAAAGCAGATGATTTACCAATTTGTGTTGTGTCCTTGAGTTCCGTGTCTACGCTACACGTTGCAGCCCCTGCACTTGGGTAACTTGCTTTCTCCTGCAAGAGTTTTAGTAACACAGAAGCCCAGAGAAACAGAGAGTGGTAGTTACCATAGAACTGCCCAGGTTCTTGCAAGCATAAATAGGAGAGGCCGCCTTCCTCTCTCTACCTTAGCAGGAAATCCTGTTAAATCTCATCATGCAAAAATTTATGATCTCATGAATTTTGTGATTCCATAAGGAATAGGTTGGGGAACTGCTGTGTCAAGAAAGCACCCACTGTAAGAAACTCTGCTGGCTACGTTGCTTGCAGCTCASTAGCCTCTTTGACGATATTGCGAGTCATATGAAGTCATTAGTCATCTGTTATTTGTCATAGGTGGCAGTTMAGTGCCACTGCCCACGACAGATCTGAAAGCAAAATTTTGTATTTAAATTTTCTATCTAGCTGCCCACATTAATGCCATATTTTTGTAATGTGTTTGCAGTGGAACGTGTAGCTGAAATTGTAACTGAGGTCCCACCCGATGAGGTAGCCCTACCTTCAGCTGCAGAAGAGAGGATTATGGAATTGGTTTTAGGGAAGATGCCTAGCACCACAAATAGCATCAGTTCAGTGACAAAGTAAGTGTTTGGGGATGCAGAATTTCCTCTCAGTGGAGACTATGTAGTACATAACAGTTCTGCTCAAACTTGGGGCCCGCAGAGCTCTTTTAGTATGAAATTGTGTGCTTGTGCTAGGAGAGCTGATTCGAAATGCCATGAAGACGGCTCGTGTGCTGTAAGACAGTTGGTGYGATGCCAGTGGGGGGAATTTTGGAGCCTAGGCCATGTGAATGGCCTTTTCCGTCATGGTACTGGTTTCACTTCATGGGGCTCTGAAAATCTCTTACGACTGCATAGGGAAATGTTATCTTATTGTGCTAGTGATAATACAGACAAAGGTAGTTTTGCTGAAAATGAATTATTCAACCTKACTTATGTCTTAACTCAGAAATGTCTTTGGTTTGGTTATGTGATACTTAAAAGTCAGAGCTGTGAAGGGGTGAAGGGGAAAATTTCGGTAAAACAGAACATAACAGAACAGGGCGAGTGAAGTATCCCTGGATTCTTCATCATTTGAATCTAGATTATTTTATGTCTTTTCTTTTAGATTTTTTAAAATTTCATTTTATTTTATAATGGAACGTTTGACATTTCAAAGTTAGCTCATAATGCCATAAATTAAAGTCCTTAGCAGRTAGAGAGTGGTCAGAAATTGCAGGGAAATAGAACAGTCCTGCTTTTTGGTGCTCTGCTGTCCTCCTACCATCTATGCTTTTTGCATGATTACTGCCAAGTTTTCTAAGCTGAAGCCGTGCTGGGTTTAGAGGATGAGCAGAACAGTTCCCCTGTGTTCTTGTGAGAACCCTGAAGAGGGAAAATCTCAGGCTGGTGGCTGCTGCTTTCTTATTTATTCTGGGGAGATGAGGAGGGYGAGTGTTGACCTGGGTGAGGGCAGTGAATTTAATTTGGAGGGAGCTGCTCTCTGGCCCAGGCTGCTTCCGCCGGGTGGCCGAGGAGCCGCCCTGGCAGCACCAGAAATTGGGCATGACCCGCTGCAGCGTGGGCCACCTGGGGGGCTCTTCCTTGCATCCCGTGGGATACCTTTCAGTCCCTGCCTCTCTTTCTCTAATCCAGTAGGTTTGCTCATCACCAAAACACCATGTCCCTCAAAAGAAGTTTAATTCTCTCCAGTAGACACGGTATCCGTCGGAAGCTGATAAAGCAGCTCGGGGAGCACAAGCGAGTCTATCAGTGCAGCATCTGCAGTAAGATCTTCCAGAACAGCAGCAACCTCAGCAGGCACATCCGTTCTCATGGTGGGTTGGCTTCGGCCTCCCTTTGCGTCTCGTTTTTATCCCTTGCTGGTTTCACCTTCGAGTAAAAGATCTAGGCTATCCTTAGATGCCAATATACATAAAGCTGATGAAGCTGTTTTTCTTTTCCCCTGTCACTGGGGAATTCTCTTAGTTACACAGGAAGGTGATAGTTGGAAGTTGAAATTAGATCAATTATGATTTGCATTCAGATGCCTGTTTTAAAGCAGGGACGAGGATGCGGTGGCTTCTCCATTGCAACTGCTCTTTAAACCAAAGCTGTCCTCTCCCCTTACATATAGATGGTCCCTCATCTTCACAGGGAAGCATTGCTGTGTAAAACACTAGCTGAGTACTTTAGGGGAACCAAAACARACAGTTGTCAGTAAAAAAAWAAATAAATAAAATGAAAAAGGTCAAAAACTGCTATCTGGATCTCCCGAATAATTAAAATTTTCCATCTCTAGCCTGTTCATTTGCAATTGCTTTTACTTTGGTCTCCTATAGTTGCCTGGAGCTGTTTATTATCTTCTCTGACTGCTGTTTTTCTTTTTTCTTTTTTTTTTTTTTTTAATCTTGCCTGATCCCCTCAGGTGACAAGCTGTTTAAATGTGAGGAATGCTCCAAGCTGTTCAGCCGTAAAGAGAGCTTGAAGCAGCACGTTTCATACAAGCACAGCAGGAACGAGGTGAGCGGAAACGTCAGGCGGGCTCTTTCTGAGCCGAGGTGAAAAGCAAGAGCGAGCCCCCAGGTGCYGGCAGGGGAGTGTGGGGCCAGCCTATTAGAGTGGATATGGGTATGAAGTTCTTGAAAGTGTGACCAGACCTTGTTAGATCTGGCCAATGCGGACATGCTCTTGGGCATCCTAGTCCTCCTTCGTGTCTGAATTTCCCGTGGGAAGTTTTCAGGGGTCATTTAGTGCAAGGCAAGATGGAGTTAGATGAACCTGCAGGATCGAGAGGTGAGATCTGACTTCTGTTTRTTGTACTAAGTAGGATTGTTCCAGGCTTGTGTGCCTATCTGGTTCATTTATCCCAACCTGTAGTAGCATTTAATGCATGAGTTGTCTGGGTAAAGGTTGTCTCATCAAGAGCTCTGTGCACATGTATAAACCTACAGTGCCTGTAGGAGCAGCRTCCCACCAGCAGATGAGACTCTCTCAATGCTGAGGCCATATAAGAAGCAAACATGCCTATGGTGGAGCCTTCTCGGTGAACATTTTCAGTATCGTGACTGCTAGACGTGTTTTGGAGCTGGAGTCAGACTATATCTTGTTTTGCCTAAAATTTGGSTCTCCATGTTGAACTGGGAGTTAAAAGTAAGACCAGTACACACCTWTAGGTATATGGCCTGCTCTTGTTTTGATATTAAGCTCAGGTTATATGATAATAAAGTATCTGAATATTATTTATATATGATTATAATTAAATATCCTGTTAAACAAATGAATTAGAAAAAAAAAACAGAAAACCAGGGAGAAAAAGTATTTCAGAWTTTATGTGTCAAGCATGACTTGCCTTTTGCCCCCTAAAACACTTGCTGTTTGCACTCCTCAGGTGGACAGTGAGTACAGGTACAAGTGCACCACATGTGAAAAGGCCTTTCGGATAGAGAGTGCATTGGAGTTCCACAACTGCAGGACAGGTGAGCAGGTGATRGTCAGCTTATTGTCCTGCTAACTCTGGTTTCTGCTCACAAGCCCATCTCGGAATAGCAGCTAGGAAGAAGGAGTAGTTATTTAGGTTTATTTTTCATCATCCCAGCAAAGAACCTGCCCCTTTTCTTTCAYTCTTTCCTCAAAAAATGTCTTCTCCTGTTAAGAAATGTACAGCCAGTAATTTGTAGGTTAACAATTCCATTTATGTCTTGCATTTTTCGGTATTTCCTGCTCACTTGTCTAATACTTGCACTGATAGTTCAGCTATATATTCACAGATACTGTATCATGATGTTTGTTTAGCTTTCTTTCCTGAAAGAAACTCTCTTTCCTGAGAGTTTCTCCTCTTTTCTCTGAGAGAAATTGGAAAAGGGCCAGAGTATCCAYAGTTCGTAGTTCCTGGGAATCATGTTCTGCTCATGCTTTCCTTATACTTGCACTASTGTTCCTAGGTATTTCTTGATACCACTAGACACTTTTTCTCCAATGACCATCCCTTGTGACTRCTCATATTAGTTATTCTGCGTTGACTTATGCTTGCAAAGTGACATTCTGGTGTGTGATACCTGTCACAGTCACCTGGGTAAGGGCTGCTTCCAGCACTGCTCGGAGTAGATCTTCCCATACCCTTTCAAAGGTTGCAGCTTGTATAAAAGCGCTGCCTTATAAAGATTGGAAAGGAATGCCAAGTGACCTCAATATTCTGCTGTCAGTCAAAGATGGTAACTACTTTTCTCTCTCTGAAGTGTCTCTTAACAACAGTAGCAGCGTTTTTGCTTTGCTCTTTTAACAGATTCAACTACTGCTTTATGCTTGCTGTAGCACTGGCAGATCCCAGCTACTTTAGCCTGTTTTCATGTTCCAATACAGAATACAAAACAAATTCCCCATAGGCCTATTATCATACCCACATTAGAGATTTATATTTTCTTTTGGAGTGTTCTGTAGTGGCTGTTCCTCGGGACCAAGTGCTGGGAGAGGTGTTTTGTCGTTCAGATAGAGCTGCTCATGTGGTGCTGGGTTGTTAAATGGCCAGCGATTCTGCAAACATTAAGAGTTTGGATCAACCCTATCAGAATCCCCTCTAAAGAGAGTTTTAGYGTGTATTAGACCCCAGTTAAAATGGCCCATATGAGGAGACTGTGATGCCAGAGTCAGCTTTCAGGTTAGCATCATACATATCTATTGCTTTTGAACAAGTGTCCTCTAATGCATTTCTGTGATATTTAGCCTCATAGATTTCAATCAGTGGGTTATTTGAGGTTTATTTTCTTCTTAATGGGAAGACGAATTTAGAAGTAAATGTAAAATATACTTTTTACATTTCTCTGTTTAGTTTAGGTGTGATATGTGAAAACTTAGGCCTAGCAAAAGTACTGCCTACCTCACAAATACACAAAAGCTGTTTTCATCTGTAAAGAGTTGCATTGTCTCTCTGGCTTGCAGACGACAAGACATTCCAGTGTGAGATGTGTTTCAGATTCTTTTCTACAAACAGCAATCTGTCCAAACACAAGAAGAAGCATGGAGATAAGAAGTTTGCGTGTGAAATCTGCAACAAGATGTTCTACCGGAAGGATGTCATGCTGGACCATCAAAGGCGACACTTGGAAGGTAAATATACTGCYGATGGATCAAGCCGTGGCCCTTGGAGTGGCAGCTGAGCTGGGGCAGCTAAGGAAGTGGTTGCACACTAGGCATGCAGGTCGGTCGCTATCACTTTTTAGCCAGACCATCTAGGGAAGAAAGTTTCAGCAGAATATGACAGTATTTAAAATACCAGTATCTAATTTGATGTCTTACACATCATCACAGCTTCTCCTGTGGTTCAGCCCTATCGTGAGCTAGGGAACAAGGGGTGGAGTGATAAGAAGTCTCACATTTAAGTGTCATAGAATACTAGTAGCCCTCTCTCTTCTTGAAAGGAGCAGGGAAGGAGATTTGATATCCTCTTTGAACAACAAAGGTGATGCTGTCTTCTCCTTAGAGCCTGAGGGAGGGAATTTCTAGGTCACATACCTGACTGAAGTGTGAAGGACTGTTAGGTCTGGGGTTTCTTTTCCTGTTCTTGCTAGCAGTAAATACTRTTTTTCAGACACTTTACTGTTGGTTTAATAACCAGTAGGGAACAATATATCAGTTTGGAAGACTTATTTCTTGAGAGGGCATTTTAACTAGGAGGTGATTCTGTGTTAGGAATTGACTTCCTCATCGAGGCTCTTCCCAGTGTTTCACTCTTCTTTACAGTATTCACCTGAAAGGGCATGCAGATTGGAGTGGAAAACCATGGTTTATTTTTTTGTTTTGTTTTTTTGATGGGGACTGTTCTGTTAAGGGGTGAGGCGAGTGAAAAGAGAAGAGTTTGAGCACAGCACGGAAAACATGGTTCGCTACAAGAAGGAACCCTCGGGATGTCCCGTGTGTGGAAAGGTAGGCCTTTTTGCTGCGAGGCTCTGTTCTGACTCCACAAATACTCCAGGGATATTGTGCACCTGAACGCAGAGTTTCCCCCTGAGCTTTTATGGCATAACAAGTTACCACCCTTGTACTAAACCACAGTAGCAGCCCAGCCGAGTAGACCTGCAGCCTGCCAAAAGACTGAGGTCAATGAGACTGAGGTCAGTGACTTCCAGAGAGGTTCCGTGAATTCACRTCACCTTGCAACTCCGACAGGCACGTGGGCAGCTGCCAAGACATCTGTGACCCCGCAACGTGTGATTCCCTAAAGTGCCCTAGCTCCATTACGTGTCCAAGCCTATGGAGCTGAGGATGGTGCAGACTAGAGGGTTTTGTTTTTTTTTCTGGACAAATAACACAATGTAGAGTGAAGTGTGGCCACTCTCTCAGTGGTCAATGAAATCTTGTAACTTAGATTATTTAGAGTGAAGTTTTTATGCCTAAGTGTAAAAAGGTGGAATTGTCTGTGTGCATCAGGAATCATTTTCTCCTAGAATTTTAAGTCAAGTCGCTGTGTAGTCATGGCACTGTTACATTTGGTTGTTTAATGCTTATGAAGTTGGTGTTGTCATAGATAATGAAGACTGGATTGAAACAGCAATTTAATAAACATTTAATGATTCACAGTGTACTCAAGCAATCAAGGTGTACTCAAGCAATTCTTAAACTGTGATTGTGTGGGCCTTCATTTTTGATGCTTTGGACATGGTACATATCAATGAAGACGTAGTGTTCCTAATTCAACAGACTGCCTAAATATTTGTAAATGTATCTTATGGAATCTGCTGTAGCTCTGCGGGAAGCCCACCTCTGATCAAAAGCCAATTTCAGTCAGTTCTCTRAAACTGTAGTCAGGGATTCTGCTGCGTCAGTAGCTGCTAAGGTACCTGCTGACTGGAGAACAGGAGCTTCCATGTATTTCTGGAAACTGGGGAAGAAATTAAATATGGTTTGTGCTAATGTGTGGCTAACTTCTACAAAATTGTGTACCTGCTGAACTCTATGAAAAGGCCTTCTTTCCTTCCTTTGCTGTAGGTGTTTTCCTGTAGGAGCAATATGAATAAACACCTTTTAACGCACGGAGACAAGAAGTACACCTGTGAAATCTGTGGRCGTAAATTCTTCCGGGTGGACGTGCTGAGAGATCATATCCATGTCCATTTTAAGGTAATAGTGCGTTTGGAAAGGCGTGTGACCTGGCAGASGCTGAACAAGCTCTCAGGAGCGGTGCTGGTGATGGCAGGGCCGTGTGAGAGGCCGCTGCCGTTGCTCTTCCCTTTGAAACAACAACAACAACAACATTGAYTCCAGCCTTTCCCACAGCAGTTGGCATTCGTTCTTTTTTATCTGCCAACATAAGTGCTTGTGTGATCAGGCCCTCGCCGGGTTTTGTCAAAATGATCTGAGTCAAAAAACGCTATTAATAGTGTTGTTACAGACACAGATTATTTTAATAGAGCTGGGTTAGCATGGAATTGCAAGGAATTGTATCACACAGTGATGCCCGTAAAGATTCCTCTATTGGCAGAATACTGCCCTGGCTGAGTCTCTGTTTATGTTAAAGTTCACTTTCTTATGAGTTTTGTCTGCCTGAACAAGTGGTTGCTCTTTGTTTATTCATGGACGGACCACATTCACCTGAGCTGAATATTTTGAACAGTGCCATAGCAGTTGTTGTCACAAAGCAGTCTGCATGGCAGAGAAGTTGGGAAGGGGTTACCTTTGGAAGCAGATTTTTCATCTATTAAGACAAAATCTTCTTTCCCACCCAAACAGGACATAGCACTAATGGATGATCACCAGAGGGAAGAGTTCATTGGTAAAATTGGCATCTCATCAGAGGAGAATGATGACAACTCTGATGAAAGTGCGGATTCTGAGCCTCACAAGTATAGCTGCAAAAGGTGCCAGGTAGCTTTAAATACTTCTAAATTAATGTGTTCTGGGATGGGGGGAAGGGAGCAGAAATATCTATAAAATATCGAGAATTTTAAGTGATGCTTTGTAGTGAAATTTTAATGACACTAAAATTAGCAAAGAGAGGGCCAGCTGAGGGTCTCCTTGCTGGTGCAGTGCTGGTTAACATCTGCTCTGTGGACTCATGCTGTCCATAGACTTCAGCTGGTGTTCTGCCAAGTGAAAGCTGAACACTTGGGCAGATTCCTTTGCACAAGCTTCCCTGTGTGCAAGGGAGCAAGCAAAACTACAGGAAAGAACATATAGAAATATTTAGCTCTTAGGCTACCTTTTACTTATGTATACATTTAAATCATTATAGAACTTTTGAATGATATCTTTCAAGATTAAATAGTCCTCTAGAAGATATCCAGTTTGGAGGGTTAAGACCATTGCTGGATRTTCAACACAACTGCTTATTCTTGATCTACTCTTTTACTGAGGGGATGGCATTGGAAATGCTTAATGGAGTTGTTGGTTGAGAGAGGTCTCTTTCAACTGCTCATGGTGTGGCTGTGGAATTTTTTATGCAAGTAAAGGGGAAGAGGAGATCCYTATTGCCCATTTGGATTTTGTACCCTCACTGGGGGAGCCTACTGTGATGGAGTGGGTAGGATCCAAAAACAGTCCATGACAACAGCAAAACAGGCCCATCTGAAGTGGGACAGGGCAATTTTCGTACATAAGCCACTAACTTGATCTCTGGAAACTGGAGTCTGTTTCACAACGTACAGTTCATGTGGTGAAGGTGCTTAGCCTGTGTCTCTAAAGGCTCTCAATGTGTCTGACACTCTCAAACATGTGTTTGACACTCTCCAAGTGTCTCTGAAAGGAAGAAAATAATACTTGAGTCCTCCTTTCTTGWCTGTTGTCCACTTGCAGTGCACATAAGCGAGAGGAACTGGGCTTAAGTGAGGATTATGCCAGCAAGCAGAAGATGCTGTATCAGAGCAGTTAAGCACATGTTCTCTTTCAGAGTGCTAGTTTAAACATCTGATACTTAATGGRTACATGAGCTATATCAAAATACATCCTAATAAATAAGAGGAATTGTACAATTCAAATTAGAAGGCTCGTTTAGAAGCTAGATTTTTAGTGCTTTTGTAGGCGTTTGCCAAATAAACAGTTACATAAGGAAATAGCTGTGGAAAATGTGTGTGCCCTGTGCTATAATCAGGAGGCTCTTTTTGGCTGGAAATACCTGTTCATACATCCCTAAGGAAGGACAACATATCAAGGAGCCTCCTAAGCTTTCGAGAGTCTTTCTCTGTCTCTTCACTGCGTTCTCTTCCCCAAGCAGCTCCTCRCCAGGCTGTGCAGCGCTGCCAGGGCCACCCCAGCTGCTTTCAGAACTGGAGCCAAACAACACGTGGGTCCCACGCTGCACCCTGACACGCAGGAGCAAATGCACCCGTGTRGTGCTGTGCAGTGCAGGTGCCTGTCACAGCTGCAGTGCCACTGGGGCAATTGCTGCCCTGCCGTGTGCACAGGTACCTGTGCCTTTTGGAGCTACTCCAAGGGCTTAATGTGCGAAATAGGAACCCGCAGCGCTSAGAAGACGCAGTCGCTGTTCGTAGCGTCCTTGCTTTGGCAGCTGAAGGAGGAGAGATGTGGCTCTGGCAAGGCCATTCCTCACTGCCTGTGTGTTTGGAGGTAGCTACCCGTGTGGTGTAAGAAGAACTTGTCTTGCCAGAAACGAGTGGCCTCCTTTCCCTTTTGCACCTCTGCCCTTTGTCAGCAGGGAGCAAAGATGGGATCTCAAACTGCAGTCCCTGCGTGAGATAACGGGTGTCAGCAGTGAGGTGCTCGTGTGCTTGTAAAGGCCAAGCAGCTACAGGACTAAGYCGAGCTGTTGCAGGACTCTTGGGGTGTCGTCATGCGCAGGATGTTTCTGAATGTTCRCTCTGTCTCTAGCTCCCAGGAACGTGTTCCCAGAGCTACTTTTGTTCTTGCCGAGGACTTCTTTTCCCCTTTCATTCCCTATTGGTTCATTCCACAGTTAACTTTTGGCCGCGGGAAGGAGTACCTGAAGCACATCATGGACGTGCACAAGGAGAAGGGCTATGGCTGCAGCATCTGTAATCGCCGTTTTGCCCTSAAGGCAACTTACCACGCTCACATGGTCATTCACCGGGAGAACCTGCCTGATCCCAACGTGCAGAAGTAAGGTGATGGGTTTGACTGATGAGAAGATGTTGTTAGAGAACTGGGCTGTACTAAAAGAGAGCCTGGAATTGCCTAATGGGTGTCAAAATGTGTATCAAAAGCTTAAAACATATATCACCTAACAATTCACTTAACATACGTGATTAGTCGTCAGTCTCAAGTTTGGGATACTATAAATCGATATTTTTAGCAAATGTCTCATTTTTTAAGAAAGTACACTATAATGTGAGTACATTGCAGTGCCAGGCTGCTCTGAGCTTGCAGTGAACTTAACAATTTCTTAAGACTGATTTTTGAGCTGCACTTAAATTTCAAGGAATMCTTTCAAATAATTTGAATTAACAAATGAAATATAGTGACTGATAGAGCTGTCTGGAAACCACTTCTATCTCAAGAAAAAAATACCAGCTTTGGTCTCCTTGGTTTCAGATACATCCACCCGTGTGAAATCTGTGGAAGAATATTTAACAGTATAGGGAATCTGGAAAGACATAAGCTTATACATACAGGTAAAAAATACTGTGTTTCTTTATTCATTCTCTATTTTAAAAAGAACCTTCTGCTTCTGGTGCATTTCTTCGGGAAGAAATAAGTCATCTTTTACAGCCAGACACTATAAGAGAAATGGTGTATTTATGATTTTAGAGCAGAGACATTTTCTAAAGCGGATAGGGTCATCTTCGAAAGGAAGGTACTTGGTGGAGRCACACAGCCTAGATTGCAGGGTTCACCTGCAAAAATCCCAGTTCTGTCTTCTCTTCTGCCTCACAGCCTTATCCATGCTGCCTTTACACAACCTGAAAACTGCTACTGTAGTTTCTTTTCTAACAGCTCTTTATTATTTTGTGCTCTGCAGCATATTTCTACTTCAGCCTTTCCCCTTTTTTTCAGATCTCACACACAAAAAAACCACCTTTTCCCAATTTCTGTTGTCCCTGAATTCACTTAGGGCTGTAACATGTATGATAGAGGTGGCTGCCCATGCCGATGGACTGTTGCCCTATAATTTGCCAGAGCCGAGTCAGATTTTGGGGGATGCACATTGTTCACTAGAACTCTTTGCTTATGCTGTCTTTTGAATTTATTTTTAAGGTGTAAAAAGCCATGCTTGTGAGCAGTGTGGCAAATCATTCGCTAGAAAAGACATGTTGAAAGAACACATGCGAGTCCACGATAACATCAGGGAATACCTGTGTGCAGAGTGTGGCAAAGGTATGTCCAGTTTCCCATTACTCGTGATGCTGAATAGCAGGTGCATGTATGTGAATTTAAGCTAATTCTATTCTTTAACACTGAGAAAATCCTTACAGTGCTATAAACACCRTATTTGTGAGTTTTAGAAATTCTGTTAAACAGGAAACTTAGAGATATGCAAACTGCCTCTATTTTACCTCTCCTTAGTTATATGCACTTTAAGACGAGTCTGATTTTAATAAAATTCAGCTCCGTTCTGCTAGACTGAGGCGTGTTTGTCTGATTGTTTATTTACATTATAACTTGAACAAATCTGAACTGATGTTTTCCTGGAAGGCAGTAAGTCTGACATCTCTAGTGGTGTTTTGTCTTTGCTTCTCCCTGCTGTTTTATTTCCTCCTCTGTGTTTTTTCGGATATTTTCCAGAGCTTTTGCCTGGAATTAAAATCCCAGTGATGATGTGCACTGCTACCTACGCTATTAAAACATGCAACTGGGGACACTTAACAGAGATGGTCTTAGAGCTGTTGGCTCTAAGGAACATGATTGTCCCGAGTTCCTCCCTGTGGGTAGGGAAATGGGTTAACTGTCATGCAAAGCTTTTAGCTTCGTCTTCCTCTCTCGCAGGAATGAAGACAAAACATGCACTTCGGCACCATATGAAACTTCACAAGGGGATTAAAGAATATGAATGCAAGGAATGTCACCGAAAATTTGCACAGAAAGTGAATATGCTGAAGCATTACAAAAGACACACAGGTGAGGTCTCTGAAGACGTGCACAAGTTGCATTGAATCGGCTAAATGGTTCCTGGAAAAACTCTCTAAGTCAGAGAGTATGAGGAACACTGCTAAAAAATATACATATGTACAATCTGCTTTTGAAAAAGGCAGGAAAACAAAGACTTGTTTTGCATCTTGTTTGCAATTGAAGAAATATTGTTTCTTGTTTTCTTGTTCTGCTTTTTCAGGGGAGGCTGTTTTGGTCTAGGATAGAGTGTTGTTTTTTCTTTTAAATTAGCCTTCAAATTCCTGTTTCCCAAAATAAAATTTCACTTTCCACATAAACTTCTGCTGGAATTCATGTTCTGATACAGTGGCATGGCTCAGATTAAAAAAAAAAAAAAAAAAAAAAAAAAAAAAAGCTGGTGAAGCTGGGTTTGTTCTCCTTGTTAGATTGTTTGTGAGGGTTTGTTTTCTTTTAAGTAATGTGAGATTTATAATAGTCCCAAGCGCCTTAGACTATTAAAACTGGTGTAAATGTGCTCTTCATACAGGAATCAAAGATTTCATGTGTGAGCTCTGTGGGAAGACTTTCAGTGAGAGAAACACAATGGAGACTCATAAGCTGATCCATACAGGTAAGCCCTCGGAGAAACAGTGTCCARAGACTGAAACTTCATTTTGTTCCTAGATGTGCTTTGGACTTGCTAGTCTTGAGCTAGTGTTAGGTACCCTGTGGTACCAGATACCAACTGAAAAAGCAGTGGAGTTGCTGCCGGTACGATACTCGTTGCTAACAGCTTTTCATTTGTGTTTGCCACCAGTAGGAAAACAGTGGACGTGTTCAGTGTGCGATAAGAAGTATGTCACTGATTACATGCTCCAGAAGCACATCCAGCTCACTCATGATAAGGTGGAAGCCCAGAGCTGTCAGCTCTGCGGGACTAAGGTTTCTACCAGAGCATCCATGAGTCGACATATGAGGCGTAAGCACCCGGAGGTGAGTTAATCCAGCAGGTCGATTGAGAGGCTCTTTGGTGGGCTGAGATTTTTAAGAAGCTCTCTGGCCTTCAATGACTTGAAAGGAATCACTTTTTTTTTTTTTTTTCTCCTATTCTTTTGCAGCTCATTTTGGCCAAGGCTTACCCATTTGCTGTTTAAATAGTGTCTGTTAAACATGCACTCGAGTGAAAAAGASCTCTCACTGTGCTAAGTTTAGGAAGTAAACGTTGTCTCTTCCTAAAAATGAAGTTATCTGATTATGTAAATCCCCATCTTTATTTTTTGACCTAGATGTGTTTATTTTTGTTTTGTCATCAGCCATTAGTGAGCGTAATTTATTAGTTTCTTTCCATTGTGTTGTATGCATTACTTTGATCTAAAAGAAGTAAGTGCTGAATAGGAGGGTGAATAGAAAACATCTGCTGATGATACAGAATTATTCTGAGTGTTAAAGATGGATGCTGACGAAGAATCTGGGCTAGAGGCATATTTGGTACCACCCCAGGGGGGTTGCATCTGTGTTTTAAGTTTCTCAATAGTCATTGTGTTTTCTCTCAGCATTTCTTGTTTAAGTTGGAAAAGGCTTGACCTTTCCCTTCAAGGCTTTATTTTACAACAAATTTATCAGTATTGCTTTGCCTCGAACTCGCTGCAGTTTTCGTGCGATGACTGGGAAGGGAAGGTAACAAAAAGGGCTGTTTAGTAATTTTTGCCACTAGATCTCCGCCACCTTTGTTAAGTGGAGATGTACAGAGTTTATATATTTTACTGATAATAATTGAGTGGGACACAGTTGATAGGTTTATAAACAGAAATGCTAAAATAATAGGCATTTGTTCTACAAATGTTCAAATGCTTTGTTTCCTGTATAATTCTTCACTTCTCGGAGAGTTGCTTTTTGTATCAAATAAGCAAGTTGTCTTTTAGTACTTTAGTCTTTAAACTTTGTTGCTGGATTATAGTGAGAAAGAGACAGATTATATGGCGGAAGATATAGATTGCTATTTAGAAAGAAAACGCTGTGTTTACATACATTACGTAAACATAGTCCTGTGTGGTCACACATGTGGTCATGTGTGTCAAACCATAAGGCCACGGAAGGGCTGAGCTTTCACTGCAGCATTTTGGCCTTGTCACAGGGCCCAGCGGGGCCGGGTTGCCTGCAGCCCCCTCTGCTGCAGCTTCCCAGGCTCACACCTGCTTATCCTTAGGTTCTTTCCGTGAGGATCGATGACTTGGAGCAACTGCCAGAAACCACCACCATCGACGCCTCCTCCATCGGCATCGTTCAGGTAAAGCGGCCGCTGCAGAAGTCGGGTGATGACCGGGTCCCGGCCCGGCGCTACGCTGGGTGCGGGGGGCACTGGTGCTTCCTTGTTACGCATCCAAACTGGGCACGGGCTGAGGAGCGAGGAAGGTGCCTCTTGCCTTAGACAGCCTACCCTGACCCGTGCCATCTTTGGAAGGGTGTAAGCAGATGCAAGCTGGTGATATGTTTTATTGTGCAGCATCGGTGCTGGTAGGATGAGGGCATTACAGGGTGAGTGCSTGTTCCTTCGGATCTGTTTTTTGCTGCAGTTTGTCGCTTCGCTCGAGTATCAACACTAAACTGAGTTAGTTTGGTTGATCGTGACTTTGCTCAGGGATTCTCCGAGAAAAATAACTTGAGGTTTCTCTTGAAATTTTTCCCGCCAGCCGGAATTAGCCTTGGAACAGGGAGAGTTACCGGAAGGTAAACAACAGATGAAAGCTTCTAAACGCAGCCAGAAACGAAAGCAAAAGCCAGGTGAGGAGGAGGAAGCTCAAGTGCCTGAGGACCCTGCCTTCAGTGAATACACAGAGAAGGAAACGGAATTCACAGGAAATGTTGGAGACGAGACTAATTCCGCAGTGCAGAGCATTCAGCAGGTGAGCTCCAGTGCGCAGGGGCTGGGCAGGATGCGTTGCTTGAGGGGATGATGTTTTCCTAATACAAAAGAATGATAAGAGCATGGAAGGCTCRTGTGAAAAGTCATGGTAATACAGAGAAAACTAGACACTTCAAAAGAGAAGGAGGAGTCAGGTCAGTCCCAGTGAACTCCTCATGCGTGTTCCTTTGGTGTTATCCTCTCCTAGGGATGAGAGAGCTGGGCCTGTTCAGCATGGAGAAGAGGAGGCTGAGGGGGGACCTGATCAGCGTGTATAAATACCTCAAGGGAGGCAGTGAGGAGGAGGGGGGCGGCCTCTTTGCAGTGGTGGGCAGGGATAGGACTAGAGGAAACGGCCACAAGCTGAGGCACCAAGAGTTCCCCAGGAGCTTAAGGAAACACTTTTTGACAGTGAGAGTGACAGAGCCCTGGCACAGGCTGCCCAGGGAGGTTGTGGAGTCTCCTTCTTTGGAGATCTTTAAAACCTGCTTGGATGCAGCCCTGTGCCCCRTGCTCTAGGTGACCTTGTGTGAGCAGGGGGGTTGGACTAGATGACCTCTGAGGTCCCTTCCAACCTTAAGGGTTCTGGGATTCTGCAATTCCTCACTTACCAGATAGGTGGCTGAAGCTGTAACTACAAGCAGGAAGGTCAGTTCAGCTGATTGCTTTGAATGTTACACGTGCCTCTTCCCTATTACCTTCTCAGTTTTATACTTGGAAGTTGTTCTAGCCCAAGCTTCTTTTGTCTGTTCTATCCTCACAGTTTCTTTCACTGGCAGCAGCAACACTGGAGCTCATCAGAATTGAGCTGGTTTGTCTTGATGCCGGTTATTTGGGAGACAGCCACAAGGTACAAGGCCGAGGTTACTTTTCTCACTCTTTTTTTCCTCCTCAGGTGGTCGTGACCCTCGGCGACCCCAAYGTCACAGCCCCCTCCAGCTCCGTGGGGCTGACAAACATCACCGTTACCCCCATTACCACGGCAGCTGGGACCCAGTTCACAAACCTGCAGCCCGTGGCCGTGGGCCACCTGGCTGCACCCGAGCGCCAGCTCCAGCTGGACAACTCCATCCTCACCGTGACGTTTGACACTGTCAGTGGCTCTGCGATGCTGCACAACCGCCAGAATGACATTCAGCTCCAGCCGCAGCCCGAGGCCACCAACCCGCAGTCCGTGGCCCACTTCATAAATCTGACCACCTTGGTGAACTCCATTGCTCCTCTAGGGAACCAGATCACGGAACAGCATCCTCTGACGTGGAGGGCAGTGCCTCAACCCGATGTCTTGCAGCCCCAGGCGCAGCCGACGCAACAACAGTCAGGACAGCAGCAGGTTCAAACAGAGCAACAACAGATGTATAGCTACTAATTTATACTTGAAAAAAAAGAATTTGGAATGAACAGTACTCAGAGAAAAAACCCACAAACATTTGGAACATTTCTGATAGGATTGTTTGCTGGATACCAAACAGAGATGTGAAAATGTTTATACAATGAAATGTAAGCTAAAATTGGTAGAGCACCCTGCAACACTCTAATCTTGAGATTCTCACATTGTCTTTGGGCCTTGCACGGTCTTTAAAGAAAAGAAAAAAGAGAGAAAAAAAAAAGGTAAAAATCAAAATCTTGCCCAAAATTAACACCCCCTTGCACTCTGTTTTGTGCGGTTAGATTGAGCTATGACAAGAGCATCACCATACATCTCAACCAAAGCAGGGGAATCCTAAACGACAAGGCAGTGATGATTTGCAAAACCTTTTCAGCCATAACATGTCACTTCTTTCAGTCTGGAAATTAAATACAGGACCTTGTTCACAGTGAGCTGGAATGCACTTGTGGTCACCTTGCAGAGACTGAAATGTAAAGACACGAATGGGCAAAACAATAATGGTCTTGTTTTTTACTCTTCTTTAGGTCTTGTATCTAACAACATTGGTGAAGTTAGGTGGAGGTTGGGGCTTGGGGGTGGGGATGAGTGTGATGTGGAAGAAAATGTACCCAATTTCACAAACTGTCCATTTTAGTGATGGGGAAAAAACCCTGTACCCATAACACAGCGTTAGTACTACTTGAATCAGATAGCTGGTCTGATGCTAAAGCAACTTGAACGCTCCTCTAGGGGAGTTTGATTCCAAACAGTCCAGAAGTGAAACCAGGATGTGATACAACTTTATGTAATTTTTTCAAAACTGCTCTTTCAATATTGCTTTTAGCTAATAGGCCTGAAGAGCAATCAGTCCCTTTTGATCAAGTTCAGAATGTGAATTTTTATCAATTAGTCTTTCATTGTGTAATAAACATTTGAGAAAGCATTTTTACACACACATATATAGCCTTTGTATGTTGCTGTGTGTTCCTGGTGCGTATTTGTGTAAAGAACACCGTTGCCAATGCGATCCGTTATTTTTTTCATCTCCACATTGCTCTTTCTTGCAGAAATAGTGTGTGCGTTTTGCTCCTGCTCTTTCTGAAAGCCACAGCCACGCACCAAGTGTGTGAAACACAGGGCAGAGCAGGGAGTCTCTAGGCGTGTGCCACGCGAGGGCAGTACGCGCTAGCGCAGAACGCACGAGGCTGGCAGGAGAGCCCGGAGGAGAAGCGCTGGGTTTCACGAAATGCCTTCCTGCTGCCAAACAGCTTTCATTCCGTTCCCCACGTGTTGATGAGCAGTTTGGACTCCCGCACGTCGAGAAGGCAATATCCACCCCGTAGAGAGAAAGCACCTGAGAGCAAAGAGGAGCAAAGCTGAAAAATGCTGCATGGAGGTGTGAAAGGCCAATCTGCCCTACCAGCTGTGGCGGAAGAACACGATTCTTTGAGGCAGCAACCAGAGCCACAGGATCCAGCTAAAGGTTCCCCCTGAGGATGAAGCAGCTGCTGTGTTTGACAGCAAAGGCGGAATGATGGTTGTGAAAATCCTTTCTGTGCCTTTCATATCAATGAAGATGCTCTGTCTGTTAAGAGAAATATGACTACATTGTCTACTTGATGCCTAAAGGATGCCTTACAGCCTCTGCAACGAATCTTTCTGAAGTATAAAAGTCTGGACAATTAATCTTATACTCCCATGATTTTCCTTAGTYCAAAGGCCCACTATGCTAGGCTCTGTGTAAAGCCTAACAGGACACATATAGAAAGCTTTCTGGGGACAGGTTTTGTTTCAGAGGAGCAGAAATTCTTCTCTGTAAATGTCAGCAAATCCACAGGCTGGGGGTATGTGAGGGACTTGTATGGGCGATAAGGCCACATCAGAAGGAGAAAATATCACCAATATGAAGAAGAAAGACCTCTCTTAACTCCTCAACGCTTTCTGACTTCCCCCCTACACTAGCATGAAATTCAGTAACTTTTTTAAGCCATGCCTCTCCTCAGACRTAGATCTGTGTCCCTTGAGCACAGGCGTTATTTCACCATTGCCTCAGCCCAAGTGGGTTTCTCCTTGATTTCCTGTCCACCAAGTACTTTCCCTTCCAGGCACCCACTGGTCAAGAGRAAGCTGTGTTTTATTTATGAAATGTGTTGTTTATGTATTTTAAACTGTCTCTCACTGCACTCAGTGCCCGAATGGTAAAGGTGCACATTATCTTCTGTCAGGGTGATTTTGAAAAAATCAGGAGAAAGGAAAGCAACTTAAGTTGTCCTAGATCCTGTGATAAATAAAGAATAGTTAGCATCTAAAGAATATGTATATTTATATACACACACTTTCCAGAAGATCAGTTTCTTCTTTAGATGCATATGTAAATGGTAATGAAAACCCAAGCTGCTCAAGTGGGGTGGAAGGGAGATTTTTGTGTTCCGTGCAGAGTGAGCATCTCTGCTCTGTGTTCCCACTGCTCCTGATCGGTTACTGCCGGTGTTCCTTGAATCGGGCTGACCCTTTTTAACATGTAACTGCATGACTGGTCGGTGAGAATCTGGACACAGGCAAAAACTCGGCATAGRGACTGCTCCAGTTGTGCAAACYCAGACGTGACCCTCTGGTTCCCTGCACTCTTCCGGCCAGTTAGCTGGAATCCTTCCAGCTCTTATTGGCCTCCATAGTCCCATCTGGGCTAGGTAGCATCCCATCTTTCTGATAATGATCGATTATAACTGATTAAAACAGGAATGATGAGAAAATAAATGCTTGCATGTTGGTGATCGCATAACAGATGTCTCTATTCCGTCTTTTGGTATCCTAAAATCTTAAATGGTAATTCCGCTTCAGGAGGGAACCATCGTAATCATGGGAAGAGGCTTTCACTGGGCCATTTTGATACACCGAACCAAAATAAATAAGAAAATAAAAGGTTCTATTTAAAAATTATCCAGACTTCCCCTGCAACCATCACTATAGTACTGATAGTACAGATACAATAGCTAGGAACAGCCTTAAGAGACAAAACTGTATCCAGACTGCGCTGCAACATGGAAGACTTTCAGAACAACCAGTGATTTTGGAGAAGCTGGAAACAGATTTCTCTTCAGATAAACCTTGCTTTGTGAGCTAGTGAATGCCAGCCATGCTCCCCACTAAGCCTTTCTCAGACGAATACCAAAGTTACGCTGATGCTGTTTGGAATTGCACAACAAATAAAAATRCGTAAGGGATGTGGAATCCAAATTTCTGTTGTCACTTTGCTCCTACCTGTAGGATATGACCAATACTGTTTTCAGCCTTGTGCTCGGGATTTTGTGTAACAACTGTTTAATACAAATTGTGGCATAATTTTGCGACAAAAGAGTGATGATGTGTCCTGTTCCATGTATTGTTGTTCACTGTTATTTAATTGAATGCTGTCTGTGGCACATGGGCTCTAAAGTAAAGGAGCAACGAGGTGCAGGACCCTTTCTCTACTAGCATTACCGTTCTTTTCTAGTCCTGAGTCATTGTATTAGATCTTTTTTTCTTACACGTTACATAGACCTGTTTTAAACGCAGTTATAGGAACCAGATTTTGTGCATCCCACCATATAGAGAAATATGGGAAGAGCATTCTAAAATATTTATGAAATAGGCTGTTGTTGTGTACAATAACTGCAGAAGAGATAAAATCTTCCATGGCTATTATTAGCGGTGAGTTCTCTCAGGAAAACCTACTGTCAAGTGCCACTGTGCTCTATAAAATATTAAAAACTTTTGAGAGGCATCAGTACAGAAACTGTGTTTTTGCAGAAACTTACCAAGCAGTTTTCTAGCTGTCTAAACAGCAAAGTTTCTGTGCCTTTTTATTGATCCAGAAATTGTTTGAAGTTAACAGCGAGGTAATAGCTGAGTTTATTTCCAGGACTGCGTTTTCTGTCAGTTTGTCGGGATGATGTACTGCTCTTCGTTGCACATAAAAGATGCCTGAGTTTCTCATCCTGAAAACAAGCAATGGAAAAAAATCTATCCATCCAAAAGACAATTGTATAAAAACTGCAGGTATTACCTGAAGCTTGTAAACAGCTTTGTTAGTATTGTTTTGTGAATACCTGTTCAGAAATATTACCTTGTAATTCAGTAATATTTCCTTGGTGCTATTTAGAATAATAATGTCACTCTTTGTATTTACTTCTGGCCTTAAAGTTGTTATTGATGCGGGCAGAACTGCTGGAAAATCCTTAACCCTTTATATTTTTTTTTGTCACGACCATTCATGGTGGTTGTCAGTGCGTTGGCCCAGTCTGGCAGAAAAGGAGAAGGACGCCTACTGCCGATCCACACTACAGGATTCACGGCAAAGCTCCCAAGGATTTTGTGGACACAGCCCAGACAGCCAAGTGACTTCCCTCTGTGAGATGAGTTAAGGTTTGTATTCGTTCAAGGGCTTTTGCTGTAGAGCAAACCCAAAGGGTCATGTTGGCAAGTAGAGGGCAGGGGGTAAAAAGTGTTTCCATCGTGTTTGTCATCAACAGGTCTGCGAGTTTCACGGGCACCGCGATGCCACTGGCACGCTTGCACGGCCTGTGGCCGGACGCTGCAGAGAGTTTGTTGGAGCTCTGCAAAGCTACGTGTACATCACCCTGCAGGGTAACGCGTTTCCTGCCCCGAGCGCTTGGAGGAAGCCTCTCTGGATTCCTCTCCCCGCTGCTTTGCACGGCAGTGCTGTTCTGCAGCGGCCCCACTCTTGGCTACTCAACGCGCAGCTGAGCACACGGAGCACCAGCCCCAGGATTGGCGCTTGGCATCATTTTCTTGAAGAGTCCATGCTCAGTGTCGCTCAACTTAAATTCCTMATAGCTAGGGTGAAAGTCAGTGATAAAAAGGGTATCCTCGGGAGTATGGCAGGAGGGTTGAGAACTGTCCAAGAGCCTTCAGTCTACCACCTAGAGCCAGGATTTCATCAGAGTTTGCAGTGTCACGTCAGTTTGCAGGCCTTTCAGTCCTGTGAGCTGTTCGGAGCAGTTGCAGTGCCTGGTTAATAACCACAACTTTTGCAAAGCTCATTATTTTACGGTTGGAATGACTGTAGAGCAGCTGATGTTAAAAGTCAATATTAAAAACACCGCATTTTCATGTTTATTCCATCTAAAGCAGAGTCTTTCATTTCTAATGTCTACCTTGCTGTTAGCTGACTGTACTTTTTGTGTCTAGAATTTGATTCTAAGAAATATTTAAGGTGTTTGGTAAAGAAGGTAGCAAAATGTAAATCACTACTGAAAAAAGAGCATCAGTGGCAAAATCAGGAGTTAGAATAAGCAGGACTAATAATGCTAATTTTCTACAGATTTCTACCTTTCTGCTCACCCAGGTCTAAGGTTCTTGCCAKGACAGTAGCACAAGGAAAGAGGCAGCATCTGTCCTGGCTGCTCTGCTGCTGCTTTTGTACGGACTGAGGAGTGGGGTGTCGTTAATGACACCAGGTGACAGCCGGGTCCTGCCAGCCTTCCCCATGGACCTTGTGCTGACGCTGGCATCTCCTCTCTACACAGCTCGATATTTTCACAGAACTTAAAAGGAATATGAGTTTCCCCAAGACTCCTACATAGTCATTGAACTCTAGAAAGCAGATTCAAAACTGAGGAGAAAGAGGGGTCTGAGCGCTAAGAGGCAATATACTACACTGGAAATACAGATGAAATAGCAATAATAATAAAAAATTTAAAGCACAGAGGGAACACATGCTTGCCCTGCTGTTTAGAACTATATGGTAAATTGTGATGTTGACAATATTAAGGATTATTATGTTCAGATGCTTTATTTTTTCTTTATTGCTGGTAGAACCTATATCCTGCATCTTGTACAGGGGAAAGTGCTTGTGTATGTTTAGTTTACCAGAAATTAAATTAAAGAGTAAAACTTGCTTAGTGCGTTATATGCAGCAACATGCAGAAACCAAAGCCCAAGATGCTCGTACGATAAGGGAGCGAAGCAGATCCACATTTCAGCCCTTTTTTGGAAAGGGCTAAAGCAAGCTCATGGGCAGCATTTTCTCAATGAGTGAATGTCCTTTTTGGCACACAGGATAGAGGACTGCACACGCGCTGGCTGTGTGGGTCTGACATGAGAGTGTTGCAGAAGGGAAGGACTAGAATAAAGGGGGGGTCTTTGCAACCAAACCAAACTAAACCAAACAAAAAAATCCAGCCCTTTCATTCAAAGGAAAGGGTGGGTGAGTTCAAACCCTTGTTTCTTTCTGTGCCAAGCAGAAGGAGATAAGAACAGTTCTAAATCAGTTACGCAGGCTGGGTTGTGGGTTAAGAAATCAATCAACTAGGTGTGATCACTCAACTTCCCTTCTTTCTGCACCTATGCCTATGTGAGACCCTGGTCAGGGCTCCCAGTGGGATGGATGATCCACCTACGTCTGATGTACAAGTAACATTTGTGCCCATGGGCTGGAGTTGCACTGAATTCACCATCAGTTTTCAGCATTATCATAGGCAGAGCAGTTGCAGAACTTGGACAGAGATGGGGCTAGGGAAGGGGGTAAAAAGTAGTTCTTTCTTGCCCCCCTGCAAAGTCCATCCTGAGGCAGATGAGATTTTTCTGCTGAATCAGTAGAATCAGTGACAAAGCACAATTTATAAAGATGCTGAAGAGCTTAGGTTGCACAATCAAAGAGAAAAATGAGAAACTTTGTCCCGAAGGCAAATGCATCTACTTCTCTTTCACTCTCCTCCCTTTCCACTTCTCTTTTTTTTTTTTTTTTTCCCATGAAATACATGCAACTCCCAACATGCAGTAAATTTTCCTCCAGGCATAATATACTCATGTGCTTACTTAAGTAAGAAGTGGGTTGAATAGAGACGAGAGGTGTTCCCGTGGCAGAAAAGTCTTGGAGGAAAATACTTTACTCACTGCTGTTGATTTAAAGTCATCCAGTCACCCTGGAGAGCCCTGGTTAGTAAAGGGGCAACTGCTGTTGTAATTATATAGTATACATATTTCCTTCTGAATTAACTTTGTCTTCTCGCCGTACAGCCAGTATTTCTGAGTCCACGCACTGGAGAAAAGTAAGCAAGCAAGCAAGCAAGAAAGAAAGAAAGAAAGAAAAGGACTTCAGTTTTAGCATGAGCATTTCACTCTAGATGAAGGGTGGTTTTAAGGGCAGCTGAAGCAGAGCAAGAACTTGCTGGAGTCAGTCAGCACTGGCAAGGAATCACCATTTCTAGTTGCAGTTTATACACTCCCGCCCTTAAGGGGAGGAATGTCAAACATTCCTCTTCCCGAGGAAACCAAAAGAGGCTCACAGAGCAGCGCCCTGAGGGGTGGCCAGTGGTGAGGGGCGAGGAGAGCCGTTAGAGCGGTTAGTGTGAGGTGGTTCTAGTGCCGTTAGAGCCGTTAGGGCCGTTAGAGCGACGGGGACGCGGCCGTTGGTCGCTGAGGCAGGGCACCCGCGGGGGAGGGGCGCGGCCGTTAGAGCCGTTGAGACAGGGCCTGAGGGGTGAGGGAGGGAGAGGGGCAGTCAGCCGCCTAGGAGGCCATGGGAGGGATATGTGTAACTCGGGACGCTCTATTTTTACAGCAGTATTAACACAGTATTTGGAACAACCTTAATCAACTCCACAGCAGTGAGTGACATGTGGCGTAACAGGTACTATCCTCACTTTGCAGCACATGCCTTYAGGGATGCCTGTGTTGCTGGCTTGCGGGTAATAAAAAAGGGCTGGCAGAATAAAGCAGTTACAGCAGCTTAGCTATTGAGCAGTTACAAGGTGAGGAAAGTACGGCTTGCCATCTGAGACGCCCAGTTCTTCTAGAACTTTCCGGTAATTAACCTGTTTGGTGGGAGATTGCATCGTAGCGCAGTGTTTTTGCTAGCCTAGATAGCTTTTCTGCTAAGTACAGAAGTTTTGCCAGTTCAGTTGCATGCGTTCCCGTTTGCACAGTGCTGCTGTAACCAGTGTTATGTCAGTGCCCGGCTTGTAATTAACAGAATCAGTAAATGCACTAGTGAAGACGCAGTTGTACTTTCATAGTGATGCTCCAGGCTGTTGGACAGAGTTTGTCTCTGAGATCTGTGTGTGTTGATGAGAAAAATACAAACCTCCTCCCAGTTGCTTGTTACCATCTTCTTTGTAGAGTCTGCGACTGCTGATGGAGATCCATTAGCTTTTCCACTTGGAGGCTGCTTAAATTTTCAAAATTAATACAGATTCCTGACAACAGGGCAAGTTAGGGGATGGTAAGCAGCTAAACTGGCAGATCTTTGAAAGTGGTAAGGAAGAAGAGCAGGGTGGGAAACAGCTGACAACAGCACGATAGTTCGTAAGAAAATTTCCTACTGACTTATCTACCCAAATCATGAGGAATGTATCCCCTTTTCAGCAGGAGCCTGTGCTCATGTCAGATTAATAMCTGTGGCCTTGCACTCTTGGTAATGATGCTTTGGTTTTCTATGTGGAAAGAGGTTTTACAGTCCTGCCCTAGGTTTAAATTGTAACCAATGCACCCTCAGTAGGTGTTTGAGATGGTGATCAGAGAACTCTTAGTGTGCAGTTGTCATGAAAATGTTGCAACTTGTGAGTTCTCGCAAACTGTTATACTTTGCAAAATAGGGACTTAGATTGCTTTTAAAAAAACATAATTAAAAAAAAAAAGTTAATGTAACACAGGAGCCTGTGATCTTAACTGCTTGCTTTCTTTTTTTTTTTTTTTAGGAAATTACAGAAATCTAATATGAAAACCAAAACTTCCCTGTACTTCTAAAGAATTTAGGCAATGGCCTCTGGAAGCAAATTTAAGAACTCTGAGTTGATATTACCATGTGAATGGGAAGAATGCTTCTTTGTAGGAAAAGGCATGGAGGAATTTTGTAATCACATTGCGGAACACTTGAAAGAGTATCTGCAGCATCCTCTGGAAAAAGCAGGTCATTTATGTCTCATGTGTCWCAGAGATTATATTGCAGTTTTGAAAATTACTTCCTAATGCAGGAGATGATATTGACTTCAGTTTTATCCACACTGCAGGTTGTCTTAGCTTTTTCCAGGCCCACATATATGAAGGCCTCAGATAAGGGTTTATATTTGCTTTCTGTTTTGCATCTGATTGTCCTTAATTTTTGTTTCTGTTGATAGGTATTACTAAAATGAAGATTGTAGAGGTAATGTCATGAGAATTTTAATGAGAGCTTTTTACATGAGATTAGGGCCTAAGTAGGTGTAATTTTCTAAAGCAAATTTTAGAAAATTACTTTTGAAAGGCAGAGTTCTTCCCTTTCAAGGAAGGTGATCAGGTGCTTAAGGACTTGAAGTTGAAAATAGCAGTTGTAGGAACCTTTACAGAGAAGCAGAAACTTTTACTGCTTGTGCAGTAACTGCCTTCCTTGCATATGTGCACTGAACGCTTCATGCCTGGTGTTGTACTTTGCATCTAATAGGCTTTAAGGTACTTAAAAGGAAAACAAAACAAAAAATTCTATTCTGCAGAAAATTATAGGCAGTCTCTGTGGATGTAATAGCAATAATAYACTACTCTTTTTAATATAGCTGTTTTGGCTCTTGTGTATCCTGCTCTTTATTCTTAACACTATAATCAAGTGTAATTACAGGTGTAGACATTTTAATTATAGGTGAATGAGTTTTAATTAAAGGTGAAAAAAATAGATTTGGACCAACATGAACAGTGTCTCCGTGACCTAACCTGGAGAGTGCCATAGTGTAAACCTAAGAAAAATACTAATTTTTACCAAAATTTCCTGTTGAATCTATGAATTATCTTTCTGCAAAAAAAGTTTTCTTTTAAGCTCTCTTAAGTATGCTAATATTGCGTACTTAAACATAAGTACTTAACAACTGAAAATCTTTTTGTTGTTGAGATTTGAAAGCTTTACCTATTGAATTATCAGTAGATAGCAAGTGAGAGAATTGCTCTCTCCATTTTCTCAGAGAAAACAAAGAGGGTTTCTCTGCTAAGATTACTTACAGATCGTGAGGTTTTGGCAAATGTAAAGTACTAATTAGCTATTGGTGGTCGCTCTGTTGTGGGGCACAGTTCCTGATTTCATGCAGTTATATAAAACATTCCCTTTCTCTCTCTCTCTCTCTCTCTCTCTCTCTCTCTCTCTCTCTCTCTCTCTCTTTTTTTTTTTAGAGCACTACCAGTGTTGGTGGAGAAGCTGCGACTTTTTGGCGAGAGATGCCAGGGAGCTGGTAATTCACGTCAATTTTCACAGTTACCACACCAAGCTGAAAGCCGTGGGCTCCCGCTTACAGGCGCTGCACCACAATCTGCCAGCGTGTTTGCAGAACCACCGTGGCCAGCATCAGGTGCCGAGGGCCCCAGAGGAGTTTGTTTGCTGCTGGGAGGACTGCAATGTAAGTGAAATATGGCAAGAAATGAATAGTTTGTTGTTGCTGTTGTTTTGCTTTGCCACTCCCCTAATTTCCCTCAGCATTCCTTAGCTTTGGCATGTGGAAAGAGAGAAGTCTCACTATTGGGAAATTTTGCTCAACCTTATCTTTAAATAGTGTTTCCCACTATCTTCATAGCCAATAGATGTTAATCATTATGGTAGCCTTCACCAAAGGTTTACACGTATTTGCATAACACACGTGAGCTTGAATTCAAGTTTTCTTGCCATTTGTGGTAATTACAGCGATCTTTTCCACAAAGATGAAACATTTATTGTATTTTAATAGCATGCATGCAAACTTTGTATTTAATAGAGAAGGTCCAGAGAGGTTTGTTATTTATTCAAAGGAAGGTGACAGAATATTCGGTATTTCCTCAGCAGTTGGAATTTTTTGTTTGTTTGTTTGTTTGTTTTCTGGCACAGGATGATATCAGACATTTGCAATAAAGCATTTATCCTTAAGTCATGTGCTGGAAAATGGCCAAGATTAGTTTCAAATGATTTGTATCTTGACCACTTTTTGGTGCCCAGTACTGGAGAAAAAAAAACCAACAATTATCCCCTTGGTTTCAGCGTTGCAATTTATATATCAAATGAGCCAAGATAATTACTAATGGCTATGTTTTTTTCAGTGTTAGCACTACCTATATAGATTTCTGCTTCTTGGATGTATTCTTTCCTGGTCAAAATTTCTTGACAGTGAGGGTGCCAGAGCCCTGGCACAGGCTGCCCAGGGAGGCTGTGGAGTCTCCTTCTCTGGAGATCTTCCMAACCCGCCTGGATGCCGCCCTGTGCCCCGTGCTCTGGGTGTCCCTGCGTGTGTAGGGGGGTGGGACTAGACGACCTCTGAGGTCCCTTCCAACCTTAAGGATTCTATGATTCTATGAAGTACTGTTATATTAATATGACATTATAGGGAAATGCTCTATCTCTCACTTTGGGCTGCAGAAATTCTGTTTTTTGGGGGGGTGTTTTTTCATGTTCAGAGAGTATTATCTTTACATCCACAGAAATGATTCTTTTTTGATGGCATTTTCATATCATCTTCTTTTGTTTAACCATTGAACAAGATAGATCTCAGATTATCTTCCTTCACTCCTTCTTTCTGTAAAAGAAGAGGCATTGTCACCTTCATTCTGTCTGGTTTACATTCTTCTTCTTTTTCTTCTTCTTTTTCTTCTTCTTCTTCTTCTTCTTCTTATATGTTATGTATGTTTTTGGTTTGAGTTAATATATCAAATGATATAACTGAAAAACAAAGTGATATTCAAGAAGGATCCAACTGAAACCAAAGTTGTAATGTGGAAAACAGAGCAAAAATTAAAATCCAAGCATTTTACACACCTCATGGACAAACGTACTTAGTAGTTTTAGTAACACTGGACTCTGAATTAAAAGCTTTGAAAAAGCAATATTTATGAAAGAGCATTCATCCTTTTTACTTCTGTGTCTCTAGGCCTTTCAGAGATGCATGGGTTATCGCCTTATGTCCTCTATTTCTTTTATGATTATGATATTGTCATATCAAACTGTGGTAAAATTAGTTTATGATAAACTAGCTCAGCTTGCTTAGTCTTTCCTCGTATGATAGATGTTCCAGTCCCTTAACCATCTTTGTCACTCTTTGCTGGACCCTCTGGAGAAGCTCCACGTCTTTCTTGTCCTGGGGAGCACACTAGAAGGCAGCAGCACTTCAGTCAGGGTTGCAGGGCAAGCGCAGCTGGGATGAGCAAGAGGGTGTGTGATGAGGCATGGAGAAGACTTGCACATGGGCTGTAAGGGAAATCACACCTGATAGAGGCACACAGGGAAAAATAGATGCATGGAAAATGAAAGTGAGATGTGAAACCAGTTTGTATGTAAGATGAAGAACGCTGATAAGAACTCAGACATGAGGGAAGAGCTAAGAAGGGTCACAGCCTGGAGAAGAGAACACTGAAAGGAGAAACTTATTAACACGTATAARTATCTCCCCTCTACATGAGGGGAGAATGTAGGGAGGATGAGGTCAAACTCTTCTCGGCGGTGGCCATTTCCATGCCAGTGAATGTCAAACTTGGGGCAGCTTCACATTGCTATTCCTCATGTCTGTCCCACTGTTAGCTTGGAATCTGTGTAATGTTTGGATAAATGCACTGAAAGAATGGAGTGATTTTTTTGGTGGGGAGAGTGGGGGGGTGGGGGAAGGTTGTAAYGGCCTATGTTTTGCAAACTTTTCCCTTGCTAGATCTACAGTTATTTCCAGTTTTCTTCTAATACTGTTTCAATTAGTAGACTGTTTATGCTACAGCATAAATTCTGTCCAGAAATAGCATGCAAATTAGGAGGTAGTCACTTTAGGTATCTCATTTATCTGTTTTGGTTGTGCATTTGAAATACCTACACTTAGTCTGATCTCTCTCTCTCTCTCTCTCTCCATCTCTCTCTCTCTTTTTTTTTTTTCTTTTTTTCCCTTTTTCCCCTTTAAGTAAAGTAAGAAATGACAAAAATCTGAGCTGGATGTTTATATGGAGAGGTAATAGCTGCTGTTGAGTCAATCTGCCAGAAACTCTTACTTCTGTGAATGGAGTCCTTTATTCATTGTGCGATTAAGCAGGGATGTTCCCTGTCCTCCTCTTTTAAAGTTAAAAGCCCAAGMATATAATAGAGAGCATTATTTAACATCTGTCAATCACACCACACAAACARTCCATAAGTTGGGATATTTTGATTATGTCTTATAGCTTATGGATGTGATATTTCTTGCAGTATTTGTATTTTAATTTATTAATGCTTATTAATTTATACTGAACAGCCCTGACTTGTGTACTGCTATGTTGTGTAAATTATTCATGAAAAAAAAAAAAAGAGTTAATCTTCCAAACTTTCCAAAGGTCAATTTAACTGAACATTGTCTTTTCAAAAACATGCTTAAAAGAGAAGAAAAATCTTCACCTCAATTGATTTCATGTTCCATTTTTTTAACTTATGCAAGTGGGCAGTTTGGGTTTTTAGAATCCTTTAGTCTGTAGCATTTTGCTAAATTATTTTTATACATGTTTTTCAAGTTCAAACCCATGTTGTGAATTTTATTAAATAAAAGAATGTTTCCCAACTCATTAGGCAGGCTAGTCTAGACCCGGAAGGTGGGGTAGGGCGCAGTGAGAGAGAAGCACTTTGAGGGCAGGGAAAGCTGCTTACCTTTCCCACCCTCCTGCAAATATGTTCCCACAGTTATGAATATAATTCTCTTTGAAAATCACCCCTGCTGCCTCGCTGAGTCCTGCGGTGCCTCCTACTGTGTCAGAGTCGGGCTCTGCAAAGGTGAGGTTACAGACTCTGGCAACAGCCCCCCAAACCTCTATTTATGTATAAAGAATTCGTCAAGAAAGTTAAAGCAAAACACTTACAGACAGTGACCTTGCATTAAAGTGTGTTTAACCTCCATATATTTACTCTCTTCAAGGAGTAAAGAAGCTTCGATCACTGTCTGGCTTAATACCTTTAGTGGATTCACCTTAATATGCCTCCATGTTTTCATATATACTAGACCTCAGATTTCTCAGATCATGTTTCAAGCCCTTCAGAGGAAATAAAGGCTTTTCTTCCCCAAGGAGCTATTGTGAAATACACTGGAATACTAATGTAAAAAGCAGCAGTTTGTATTAACTCCTCATGTGAATGCTCTCTTCTGCACAAAGAATGCTTCTKAGCAGCTTAGTTTCATCCATTCACCAAGTATACGAGGATTTGGATGATCAAACACAAATAATACTAAAGAAATACTTTTTAAAAAATTATATAATTTCCTTTAAAAATCTGTTCACATTTGAACCAGCTGTACATTATCTTCAGTGGCAGTATTAGCTTCAGGAGTTGCATTTGTTTCCACTTTCCCTCTCCAGTGTTTTGATTCTGTTTAAAGCCAGATCATTTCCCTAACTCAGTTCACTGGGCAGCCTTACAAGTGCTTGTGCTGGTGCAGCAGAGGAGGTGATGTACTCAAGTMGGTGGCTAAATTACCGGGAAGTGAGAGGAATACTTCAAATTGCCACTGATGCCAGCTTGCAGGCGAGTGCCAGCAGCAGTTGCTTGGAGAAGATGCCCTGTGCTCTCTGCTTGCGCTCCGCAGGTGTGGATTTTTGTGGAGTCATGAAGAGGCTAATTAAGGGTTAGTCCCTCTTGTCACGACACTGGAGTGTTGTGTCTGTGGCACATACTTTAATCTCATCATYGTGCAGCTTTCCCGTTGCTATAAGAATTATCTGTGATGCCCTCATACACAGCTGGGTGAACAGAAAAAGGTACAGATGAAAGGAGGGGGGAAGGTAGAAGTCCACGAAAGCAATAATCAGAAGAAATACATTTACAGACACACACTTGCCCTGACCTGAAGAATGGGTCACATTCACTGGATTGGGCTAGACAGGCTTCYAAACAACTACATGGTGAAAATAAATGCAGGACCTGATTTGTGTAGCATTGACTGCAGAAGCTTCCATATTTTTGTAAGGGGAAAAAATTCTGAGTTGGAGTCAGTTAATTAAATATGACTCAATATTCACTGGTGTTCATTAGATTTCTTAAAAGCACTTCTTTTAATTCTTTGTTCTGACAGTTGACTTCTTGCCCAAACTGTCTTGTTTTTTCCATATTTCTGTTTTGTTTTTAGGTAACATTCAATAACCCAGAGTGGTTTTATCAACATGTTGCTATTCATGCCAACGCTACTGAGAAAGAAACTATTATAGATCAGAAGAAAGTTGTCTATTGTCACTGGAAAGGTAGTTCACATACTAAGCTTCAATTTGAGAAAGTATTTCACTGTGTTGCTTCTCACAGAATTCACTTAGTGCTATATAGAGTATAGAAATGTGTGAAATAACTTCCCCAGATGTTTTTCCATCTGTCTAAAATACTGGGGAATGTCAGTACTGAACAGGGTGAGGTATCTTCATAATTCTGCCCATGGATGATGGTGTATCATGCCTGCTCAAACAGATTTTTCATTTGTGTTCTACCACTCAAGATCAGGGATATTTCCCTCACAGCAGCCGTTACTGGAGAACTAACCCTGCTTTTCTTCATCTGTTTCTTTCCTATCTAGGGAATCATAGCTATTGGCATTGCTGTTTCTCTCAGCTCTGTCGTGAGAAATAGCATTTTTATGCACTCTGTGACAAGTGCTAGCTACTTGGTGTGTTACAATTATTGTCACTGCTTCATCAAGGCTGATATTCTGCCTTTGGCTCTGTTGTAGAAGCCACATTCCTCTGGCAGTCTTTCATAGCAAGTGCCTTTATTTTGACTAAGGGCTAAAGTATGGGCTGCAATTTGAGCTGCGTGTCAGTCAGTTTCAGACCAACCAAGTGTAGGGACAGAACCTCTCAAGCAGAAAAGACTTCCTGCAGAATATAATTAGTTTGTTGGACTCTGGTTCTGGAAGAGTTGAATTCAGAACTCACTTTTAAATATGTCGGCTTGCTGTCTTATAAGAGGTATTGGCAAAGTCCTAGCTTGGTCTGAATTGTCTTTGTGAATCCCCCCAAGGCTGAGGGTTCTCAGTTTAGAGTTGCTTTTCCATATTCACTGAAATGCTGGCAGATTCCAATCAGTGGATGCAAGGTGACATCATTTTGTTCCCTTCCCTTCTCCAGATCAGGCAACAAATAAATACATTAATAATAATAATAGGTATGTTGCCTCACCTGGGAATTTGTTGGCTGGGGAACTCACTGCAGTGGCCTGGCAGCATCAAATCTGTAATCCTTAGATGAGCAAAAAATACACATCAATGTAATCATAGCTTTAGAAAATATAAACAGCAAGGAAAGGAAAGCTGAAGGGTTCTGATGGTATAGCCTAGAGAACAGAATGGAAGAAAAGGGAATGTGGAAGATGAATATGGTGTATGTTTAACAAAACAAAAAAACAAACAAAGCAAAAAGGGGTCCTGGCTATTTCACCTTTCCAGAAGGCTTGCTTTCTTCATAACCATTATTTYTATTTGCTAAGTAGAAGATGAGAGACTTATGGCTGCTCCCTCCTATGGGATACGGTAGCACATTCCTTCAGATCTATTGGAAGTTTCCTCTTGAAGAGCGCTCTTGAGCTTCCTGGAAGTCAGCACATTAACCTCCTAGGGATTTCTCCCTTATATCTTGCATATGGATAGCCACAGCTTTCTTCTGGTGCTGTTAATACTAGTTTGGTATCTATAGGACCAGGCCGTTCCTGAGGACCTGGATATTTATAGGCAAAGCTTGTTTGGTGGATAGCTGATTGCATGTGGTTAACCACTGCGTAAATGTATACGTGGAGATGGGAAACTTGAAGATTAGAAAAAAGGTCAGTGAATGGAGTCCTTCGAGATGTAAAGTTAACGTGTAATCTCCATCTCATCTGATTCGCCTGTTCCTCTAGAGATTGTGAAGACTGATGGAGGGCTCTGTTGGGGAGGCAGCAGAGATAGGACAGATGCTATCTCAGTTCTACTGTAGGAACATAGGTGTGGAGTTAACACAAAGAAAAGATGTGAGGGTGGAAAGGTTAGGAACGTGCCCTCTGCAGATTCCAAACTGGATTCT